GGGGGGGGGGGAGGCGGACCAAAAGGCAGGCCGTGACTGTTCCCAGTGCTGTCAGAATGTATGTTCGCTTTAACTTTTTTAACTGATGGTTTTGGCGAGTGACTACCACATATACTAGCTTGATCCAAGACTGTTTGTGTGTACATAATTCTTCTTGTTTTGTGTAGCATACTATCTCCCATCACTGAATCTAGTGTATACTGTTCTTGGTTGGGCTTTGGACTGTGTTATACATAAATCTTGTTGCAATCATGTTTAATACAATGACACTTGCCCAATCCACTTGAAAATGAATCTACTCCTCTGTTTCATAACACTTATTCAATCCTATCAAGCACAAGATCTGAGGAAATAGCTTGTGAAATTGAACCAACATTCATTCCATTCCAACTGTTCAAACTCTTTGTTCTGAATGCACGAACATTACAAAAAGACATATGTAACTGAGACAATTATCGTCATGCTAACCCTTGTTTGTCTTTTTGGACTAGGCCTACTACTATAGTTGATATCTTCGTATGAATTCAATCAAAGGAAATTAAGTTTTAGTTATTATTTTTTGTGCTGAAGTTTTAGTTAGATAAATAACATGGCAATACAAAGAAAGAAACTCAAGTGGCATGAGAGGGTTATCGAGGAAGCAACTTTAACATGGTATTTGTCCACAACACCATCATAAGCCGCATGGTACACTCAGGTTGTTGAAACACAATGATGTTTTGATCAATGTTCTTGTATATAAGTTGCCATGGGCCTTCAACTAGTTTTTGTTAAAAAAAATTGATGGGAGCATTCTGTGCGTGCTATTTATGCATTTATATGCTATCTGTGCATTTATGTGCATACATGTTTGATTTTTGGACTGGTATTTATGAAGTCAGAACACTGGAGTAATTTATACTTTCCTTGTACAGTCCCTCTGTTTGGTCAATTACTAAGTTCGTGCCAGTTAGGGAGTACAAGCAGAAAAAATTCCTGAAATTTTCACTGGTCCCTGATCCGGAAGATTATCATCAGACAAATGAATGGGAAAATTTTATGAGTTACCTTCGCGACAATGGGAAGGTAAATATTATCTGCACTGTATATTCTTTTTTTAAATTACCCTTCTAAGGAAACACATTCCGAGTATTGGGCAATCACCTAGTTATTGTCCTATGAGATTTAATACTTAGGATGTTGGTGTCGGACATGGTTTGATGTAACAGAGACATCTAGACTAAGAAGTATAAATTTATGGGGTGAGGGAGAGGGATAGTATTTTGTCAGACTTAGCTTGCAATTAACTAAAATTAACTCTCGGCATTGTTTCTGTTGCCTAAGAAGTATGTTCTATTTTGTTATACCACATTCTGGCAGCTCCATTTTGCTGTCTGTAATGTGAGGTCCCTTGTTTTCCTCTTATCTTTTTTGTAGGCCGGCTTTGCTAAACACGGGTCTGTCACCTTCCACATTTTTTATCCTGGAGATTCTTTCTCTGCAATGGTCTTGTATGAGACTGAATTGAAAGAACATGGGTGCCTGCAAAAATATGGCTGGGATATATGGTGAGAGTTTTTCTTTTTTTGCAAGCCATTTCTCCGCTGAAATTATTTGTTATTAGCTCAGCGTCGTACTGTATTCTTCCCTTGTTTCATAGTGAGAAGCTCATTGACTAAGATATCTCTACACTAGCAGTATATGCATTTTGGTGACAGCACGTTGTATCCTAAGAGTCGGATTTGCTTATTTTTTCTTTTTACTTTTTTCAGTTGGATGTGCATCATCATAGGCTATGCCTGCTGTCAGATCTTGGCTTTATTTTGTTGGCTTATTGACTGTTCTTCACTTATCTGCTGTGCCAACAGGGAGATCCAACACAAGTGAGGAGACTTGTGATAACATACCACGTATAAAGGAGATGAATTTTTCACATAAACACCAAAATCCATATATCACAGAATCCTCGCAGTTCAATTCTGTTGAAGATGGTCCTAGAATTTTAGATCCAGCAGTGAACAAGAGAACATCTACACATACAAGAAATTTTATTAAAACAAACCCTAGCTATCTCCGAACACTTGGTCAAACACATGCTGGCTGGATCTTTGGAGCAGTAGCAGAGCTCATAGATAACTCCAGAGATGCTGGTGCATCCAGGTAAATCCATGCCTTCAAGGTGTTGTATCAGATTTTTTGTACTTTTAATTTGTAAATCATTTTTCGGGGCCAGTTTGACTTCGTGAGGGCTACTTTATTCCCAATTGTGTAAGCTTAGTTAGTTTGGAGGATATTTAATATCTTAAGACACACCCTGAAGATTATTTGGAGCTATTTGTTATTTGATTGCACCACTGATTTGTTCTTCTTTTATTTCCTTATTAATGGAAGATTGGATATTTCCATCCAATCTATGTTTTCAAAGAAAGCAAAAGGAAAAGTTCCTGTCTTATGTGTATCTGATGATGGCCATGGAATGACTTACGAGGAAATGATGAGAATGGTCTCATTTGGTCACGACAAACCTAATGAATACTGCCAGGATCAGATTGGGAGGTTTGGAATTGGATTTAAGGTAAAGATCCGTGTTAAAATCTTGTCAAATGGTCTTATTCTTATGCTTTTCTGGGTTCCTGGTCATTGTTGCGATCCATGTTATCAATGACCTCTAAGTATTTCAATATTTTACATCAATTAGATGCTGTACTGCTCTGATTCATTTGAAATATGTTACTGAAACTGGCCTGAGTGTGATAAAAGTATGTTTATTTATGTCAGTCTGTAATTCACTATTTAATTCTGTAATGGTGTTGGGTAAATGAGGACAGCACAAGAATTCCACCGGTTGTCTATTAGTGCTCTTCCTATGTTTTCTATGCACTGCCAATGCCATGTTCCAAAGTCGCTGCTTTACCTTCAATCATTTCTGTCTTGTGTAACTAGGAATTTCTAATGTTAAACTGCCCAAGCAATAAACAGTTGTGCTACATATTTTGTAGAGCGGGGCTATGAAACTTGGGAAAGATGCACTAGTGCTTACCCAAACTTCAACTTCCAGATCAGTGTCCTTTCTTTCCCAGTCCTTCAATGACAAGAAAGATGTAAGCATGTTTCTACATACTGCCTTCATTAATTGTCTATGGGTATGTTAAGGCAATAACAGTATTATTTGCTGCAGAATATTGAGATCCCTGTGGTGACATATTGCAAAGAAGGACAATACATGGAAGTTGATTTGGATGTCCATTCTAAAGCTGCTGCAGAGCATAACCTCGATGCAATCAAGGAATTTTCTCGGTTTAATGAGTACTTCATTGGAGAAAAAGTGGGGTTATTTGGTGAAGACGGTACTGGTACACAGGTTTATATATGGAATTTAGACAGATGGGGTGAAGATTACGCCTTGGAATGGAACCCCGAGAGGACTGATGAAAATCCTGCTGGTCATGGTAACGGAGACATATTAATCCGTTCAAAAAGAGTCAGATCACGTCCAAGACAGACAAGTAAAGATGTATGTAACTTATCATCAACATTATTTTTGTAATTTTTTGAGGCGATAAATGACCTGCAGATTCATAATTGAAGCCAGAAGGGGTGTTGCATTGTTCTAATGGTTTCTATACAACTGGAGGGATGAGTGGGCTCTTATGCTTGTGCACACCCTAAGTGGAATAGAAAAATTGGTAGATTTAGGAACTGGATGGGATTTCGGTGGCATTCCCTTTGTACATTTAGGACACAATATGTCAGTGTGTAGTTAGCCATGTTTTGCTAAAGCATTAGTGACGGTTGTTATTAATTTCACTATATTATTTTTCCAATATCTAGCACTAATTCATTTTTCATATTCTACAAGGTGCCATTGGATTATTCGCTTAAGGCTTATCTAGAAGTTATGTTCCTGAATCCTCAGATGAAGATCACTGTCCAAGGTTCTCTGGTATGCTGTAATACTCATATGTCATATTTCACTTATGTTGTAGCATGTTAAATTCATGTTTCATGTTTTAGGTCATAACCCGTCATTTGGAGAAAACCCTTGATAAGACGTCTGTTATGTCCGGTGAAATAAAGGGAAGGACCATTTGGCTGACGCTGGGGATGAGTGTTGAAGAATATGATAGAGTTAACTGTGGGATGTTCTTGTTTTGGCATGGCCGTCTAATAGAGGTGGGTTTAACCATTGTTGTATTAAATCACACGTAGTTGACTATTACATGCATTGTTCCACCCTGACCTGTTCCATATTAGAATTAATAAGTCATCGCATGCTCACATTTAAAGCTAATGTTAGGGTAGAGATATGACACATCTATAAACTGCTACACTTCTGTTCAATTACATAGCACATATATTTTCTTCATTACTTGCTACGATAGAGATGGAGAACGAATCTTAGCCCCATCTTTCCGGGCATTGAAAACTACGTTGAATGTAATGACTAGCAACCATTACCAGGAAGTGGATTGAGCTTTAGGCGTTGTTTGGATAGGGCCGGATACATGGTCAACGAGTTTGTAGCCGGATTTTAGCAAAATCGGTTTTGCTAATGAATTTTTGGATAACTAATTTATACAGAAACACGTTTGGGTTTGGAAAAGATAAAACTGGCTTGTACATTTCCTTGTTTGGGTAGGAGGATACCGATTCACTTCTCCTCCCCTTGCCTTCTCTCTCTTACTTTCCCCAATTTTGGCCATTGATGACGACTTCCCAAAAGCTTCGACTCCAGCCGCTCCAGCCTGTGATTCCTCTTCCGTCGTTCGTCCTCACCGCCAGACACCGGCGCCCTCCTCCCGTTGGGACGGCCTCGACGACTCCGCGCGCGGAGGCTTTCCCTGGTCGCCTAGGCCGACTCTGGTCGTCCCGGTACAGGCTCTGCTCGGCGAGATCTGCTCCTCGAGCTCATCCCGTAGGTCCGCCGCCCCTGGGCGACCTCCCTCATCGGCCCTGCACAGGCTTTGCTCGGGGAGAGGTTCTTCTCGAGCTCATCCCAGATGTACGCCGCCCCTTGATGCTGGCCGTCCAGCAGCGTCCGTACATGGAAGTTTAGATCTCAAAAGAGTGCTCGACGCCGCCCACCCTGATAGCGGCCATGTCGGGGCTGGAGGTCAAGCGTGAGGACTATGATTCGGCGGAGCAGGTAAACATTTCTTCTTTGTTTGCATTTCAAGGTCGAATTATTTGAGCTGGGAGCCATTTTTCTTATCGAATGACAAATTTATTGCACACAGTTGTACATAAAATAATTTAGCATTACTATCATCTTATAATACAGAACGGGAAGTTTTGGAACCTATAAATTGATGAAAAATTGTAACAATTATTATTGTAATGAATCTATAAATAAAATTTAAAAAATAATATTGTAATGCTCAATCATCTTCTGGTTGTTGAGCGGAACGCTGTTGATGATTACTCCACAACTGTCGAGCAATGCCTGCACGAACTCTCTCACCAGCAGCTCGTTCATCTTCTCTTGCTTGCCCTCTAACTTGCTGATCACCATGGTCAACATGTTGTTGTGCTTCCCCATGCTCATAAAGTTCGAACAACTCATCATGATGATTAACCTTCCGGATGAAGTTGTGGATAATACAACAAGCCATAACAATTTTGACTTGTGTTTTATATGGATAAGGAATTCCTCCTTTCCTACTTAAAATTGGAAAGCGAGCTTTTAGAACACCAAAAGTTCGCTCAACAACATTTCGTAGTTGTGCGTGCAGATGATTGAACATATCTTTCTCACTAGTATATCGTCGATTACTTCCACGAAAAGAAGCAATATGATAACGATCTCCACGGTACGGGGCAATAAATTTTGGAGTATTTGCATATCCAGAATCAACAAGATAAAATTTACCTGCACGTAAGGTTTGATAGCACGGTCAGAATCTTTATGTAATAAGATTAATCAATATATAGTTCATATATTTGAACTTTTACCTTCAGGAACAACAAAACCCCCACTAGTAACAGCCCATCTTAGAACTGCTTGATCTGATGCAGAACCTTCCCATCCAGCAGCGACATATGAGAATGTCATGTCAAATGACACTGCTGCCATTACATTTTGAGAGGGGTAACCATGCCTATTTCTATAAGGAGTTTGCTTATCTAGCCTGATTTTTGCCTCAATGTGTGTCCCATCAATTGCTCCTAGGCAGTTCTGTTGGGATTTTTGTTAGTCAAACAATGAAGTTTAAGTTTCCATGACATAGTATTTAATCATATTTAAAAGTAACACGTGTTTGCGATAGGAAAATACCTTGAAATATGGGTAGAACCTTGCATCACCCAATATTTTCGCTGGGATTTCATTCCTTGGATCTGTTATGCAAACATCACGCAACCCATTTATGGCATCTAAAACAATGTTGAAGTGTCGGCTGATTGGTTCACCAGAATGCTGATATCTATCTTAGATGACATGGTTCCTAACATTGTGACCAATGGTATGTAGAAACATGAGTAGTTGTTCGTCCACTGTCATTCGCTTTGTATCCTTCAGTAAGCCTCTCTCACACAAAGCATCTCGCAGCAAGTAGAATATGTGCTTCTCAAGACGAATTTGTTCGTAAAATCTAACTGGATGTCCCTCTAGCAACTCTTTTGTTTTCTGGGCACCAGTTAATATGGAGGTGTTACGAGGTGTTTTGAATAACCTTGTGAACAACACATCACGAAACACGGACACTGCAGAAATGTTATTAATAAGAACTTGCTCGGAATCAGAAAATTCATCATCTGGCACATACAAACTGTTCATGGTTCCCTGCACAGTGTACACTATTGATTGTATCATCTCAGAATAATATTTTATAAGATATATAAAATAGTTGGAAATGAACTTTCTCAAACTGAAAGTACAGTTGATTGTTGCAACACAAACTGACAGAAAAAGCAATGGAAATTGTTCTCTAAATACATAAAATGACAATTACTGAAATCAAATAATGGTGTATTACAAAATAACTAAGGATCAAGAATCCAAAGCTTTCGAGTTTCTTCATACATCTCAATGAAAATGGTGCGTTTGTCACCATCTGTAAATGCTTTTACTGCTTTCAGTTTTGTGCTGGCATCGAGGCTACCCATACTATTTAGTACTGACATGCATGATTTAACCGAGTAAGTGTCATTTTGTTCTGCTGTTTTTTTCTTTGCTTCAGCAATGCTGAGTGATGCATCTGCAAGACGATCAATTGCTGTTATGGCATCATCAGCTGTACGTTTTTGTCCTCTTGTAGTTTCTTTTGATCCACTTCCAGGGAATTTCCTTTTTTCTGGCTCAATGGCTGTCGACTTCTTAGTGAACACACCAGGGGAGCCATTGTTTTCATCAGACTCGATTTCATGTACTTCAACATCCTTATTGAGATCAATTTGAGATGATTTAGTTGTGCATGAACCATCTTTCCCTTTGCTAGATACAGCACCAACTCCAGATGCCGTTGAACTAGCACATATTTGTTGAAGATCTTCCCAACTAGGCCACACCTTTTCTCGATATTCTTGGAGTGACTTATCCTTCTGCAAGTTGTTAATTTTTTTATTAATAAATATAATATACCAATTTTATATGAATCCTACTCGCACAAACTTACCTCAATTAGTTCCTCCCAAGTTTCTTCTGAAGCTTTTATCATTTTGTCATCGTCGTCCCAACCAAATCCAGTCAGTTTAAGAAGTCTATCCATGGCAGCATAGCAACTCCAGTAGTACTTATGGCGATTTTTCAATTGTTGTAATTCAAGTTTGTCTACTCTTGAATCATTGAATTGTTTTAAGATATCACGCCATGCTTTCTTTGTGTAACCTGTTCCTTCTTTCCCTCCGTGTAAAGTTTGATCTTTCATTATAGTGAGAAGTATTTTGTCCTCCGAAGATTTCCATACATGCCTCTTTTTATCTGGGTTTTCTTTCCTATTTTTTTGGTCCTTCTGATCATCCATATTTATCTACAAGAAAATAAAAATTTAAATGAGTATGTGATTGACAAACATAATTTCTCTTGACATTTCAAAACCTCCAATTTAAAGTTGTACTTACAACAAGCCATATTGCAAAGTGAGTTATTTGGTTGAGAAGAACACTGTTAAGTGGAAGAAATGAACATGATAATAATATTTCAACTGCATTCAAATCATCTCTTGGCGTGTATTCTTCTGATTGCAGTAGACAAATGGGGGTCTAGGACTGAGCTAATCTTTAATGTTTTACCTATGACAACACTTACTACTAATTGTTTGATTTCTACGTGTATTCCTATGTTCTTTTCACAATGCAGGTCGACAAAGGAACTGATGGCTTGTATTTCAGTGATCTACTGTTGGCTTACCATTTGTTTTTATAGAGGTAAAGCTGCATGTGCATGTTCAATTTAAATTTGAGGGCCCCTTATATCCAGGAGTACACGATTGGCCTACATACTAGACTATGATACATGTGTATACAATTTAGACTACAGCACAAACATACATACTTATATCGCACAGTTCAGATTGGCCTACTGCCTATTAATACCATATAAATATATAATTAGAGTTAGCGTGCCATTTACTCTTTTTTCATATCTGGCGTTTACCTGGTTTCCATGTACAGCAGCAAGTAACTAGTGTAGTGGGTTTCTTTTATAATCAAACAGAGGTGTGTTTCCAATTAGAGAGAGGAGGGGACAAATTGCCAAGTTGGTGGTTCTAGTTTCATCTACGAATTGGCTATCTCAGATTACCGGAGTTTTTTTCTTTCTGCAAAATGAGCTTCATTACGAAAAAATGAATCGATGAACAATACCATGAATTTGTAGATCTACAACTTATACGTACGAATTTGTTGATCAGGATGATTGATCGATGAACATTACCATGAACTCTGTACATCTACAACTCATATGGACCAATTTGTTGATCAAGATGATTGATCGATGAACAATACCATGAAATTTGTACATCTACAACTTATATGGACTAATTTGTTGATCTGGATGATTGATCAATGGACAATATCATGAAATATGTACATCGACTACAACTTATATTGACAGGATGATTGATCTTACCAGGGTCGTGCAACTTGATTGAAGATGGGAAGATGATGAGAACCGCCTGATGAAGAAGCCGCTGAGAACCAGTGCCAGCGTCTCCCAGCCAGCGCATGTGAATGGAATTGACGGCCAGCCAGTTTTATTAGCGATGGGGCCTGTATATAAGCAATGAAAAAGGCGCGAGGGCGAGCAGCAAAACGCAGAACTGGCGCCAGAAAAGTTGTTGCGAAGCGAGCGAGCGGGAAAAAGTTGTTGCGATCACGCATATAGCAACCGCGTTTGTGGAAAAACGCCTATAAGCTCGTTTTTCTATAAGCCCGAAATCTTGGGTTGTACAGTTCCAAGTTTCCTATAAACATGGATTTGTTATAGTAGCCAAACGAGGTTTTGTTCGGTTGAACCGTTTTCCTGGTTTATAGAGTACGGATTCTATATATATCTTTTTTTTTTGCGGGGAGATTCTATATATATCTTCTATCCAAACAACGCCTTAGTGTTGTACACAGCACACAATAGATGCTTGCGTTGTTTCAGCAAGTTGTTTGCACTATTTGTCATGCATTTTGTATTTGTTGTAACTTTGATTTTGTGTTCTCTTCCCAGTCTTACAAACGAGTTGGTGGTCAACAGCACAGTCCTGACGTTGGGCGTGGAATGATAGGAGTTGCAGATATTACCGACATCATTGTATGATTTGTTTTTCAAGTTCTTTGCTCTTCTCTTTTCCTGTTTGTTTACCCTTGTATCCCTGGCATTAACTTCTTGATGTATTTTGCAGGATAATGAAGATGGTAGTACTTGGGTTCTTAACAGCAAGCAAGGGTTTCAAGATTGTGAAATGTATGTCAAACTGGAGGAGTGGCTCGGAAGAAAAGCAGATGAATACTGGGATACAAATTTTGACAAGCTTGAATTGGTATGGATGCATGATTTAATTTATATTGGAAAATATCTTACATATATTGTCCTGAAATGCATTATCAGATCTCTTTTGCATTGTAAAAGGACAAGAACGACAATGCTGGGTGATAACTCTGTATGCCATAGATTGTTAGCAGACAGCTCTTGATCATGCCTTTACTGAGAAAAAACAATACTCTGTTGTCATGCATTCATTTGAATATTCTAATGAAAGTATTAGTCATGATGAGGTGGGATGGTAACACGGTGGACAGCGTGAGTTACCCATTCATGCCATCATGATAGAGACAATCAATAACAATTTGTGTTACTATCCATTCAAAACCTACCAGGTCTTCTGTAAATATGGTAAAATTGACATACAAATATAGATGTGATATGCACGTCCCTTTTTCTGCATGGAATACATGCATACAAATCTATCAGTTCTTTAGAAAAAACATCTACTTACATGTATGTAATCATGCCATCAGAGATTTAGTGTCGGCAGGGATGGGGGTTGCATTTCCATCCTCTCAGGAGCTAAATGTTTATCTTACAGAAGTAATAAGTTATCATTTTACATTATGCATTGTTCCGTATTATTCTAAAGGATTATTCACTGTAGTTAACTTTCTTCATCTAGAGAGAAGACTGTGAGCACATCGAGGCTGTTGCTGACTGGGTTCAGTGCAACAGCTGTCGTAAATGGAGAGTGCTGAGAGTGGGCTTCGATAAAGACTCTCTGCCCACTGAATGGTTTGTATGTTGACAGACTATTAAAGTTACCAGCTTGCAATTAGCATATCATCGCTACGACATTTTTGCTATGGTGGCCAGGGTTTTAAGTTCCTGCAACTTTTCAAATCGTGACCAAGATCAATTTCATAAAAGAAATGAATCCTGTAGCATTTTAACTTCAAATAACTTAAATATCTTTTCATTGTTAAATCCAGTTATCTTTTCATTTTAACTTCAAATAACTTAAATAACTTTGTATCATGAAACTATAACACTTCAGAACAGGAACTTGAATTGATACAATCATCTTGCTGTAGCAAAGTTTATACAGCACACGTGTACCTTTTTGACAGGTCTGAGGTGTTGATGCGGTGAACTTTCAGGTTTTGCCACATGCCGCCTTTCAATGGGAAATGTGAGATTGCACAGCAACAGATGGAAGTTGGGGTGATCACGGTTGCTGCGAAGAGATCTGGTGACACAAAGGTAGCCCAGCTGAAGGTTCAAAGACTCCGTCAAGATGAAGATGTTAAGGTAACAACAAATCCAAAGCTTCATTCTTTGTGAAAGTCTTGAGTCATTAATTAGTACGTAGTAAACTTCATCCATTTTGTAAGTCAAGTCATCAAAAGTAAATATGTCTTTCTTTGTGGGAGATTAAGAGTAAATAGTTAATCCTGTTGTGTGACCAGAATGCAAGGTTAATCCTGCCATCAACTTACAAAGAGGGGAAAAGGCCTTCCAATGCCAGGAGCTGTGAAGGTATGCATGCTCTGTAGGCAAAAAAGAAGCCATGAATCTGCAAGAATGATAGTTTTTGTAACCCCTGTTTTTAAATTGTTTTTTCTTGCACGAGCTAATGATTTGCTATCATATGATTCAGAAGATAATTGCTCACAAGCCGAGTCTGATAGGCCATTGAAGAGGCGGTTGAGGGGGAACTGTAACAAAAAACGGTGAATGGTAACGCGCGGTAACCGTCTTTTCCTTAGTGTAACCAAGGCCTTAAAGTCTTATTATTGCATCATTTCGCTGACGACATTCTTTGATTTTTCAGGAGTTTTCAGGCACCTTTGGTCAACGACAATGGAGCTGCAGATATCTGTTGATTCCATAGGACGCTTACCACTACCTTTGGAAGATTCTGCAAAATGGATGTAATATGCATACTTTTCTTAATCTGATCACACGTACCTGTACCGAGACATTAGAAACGGAATGCTTTTGTTTCGTTTATCGTTGGCCTCTTTTAAGTAAAATGTGCACTTAAAGCATCTCCAACGGCGTACCTCAAATCGGACACACTAGACATCCGTAGGCGGGTCCAGACTCATCCGTGGATCTGGATATGAGAGCCGGCAATCCAACCCTGTGCAAGGGACATGGCATTTTCCATTAATACTTGGATTTTTTTTCTCATGGCGAAAATAAAAACTAGTCTAGCCTGCTCTTTGTTGGATGTGGGCAAGTGTCCCACCTCCGACTCTTTGCCGGATGTGGATGGTTTTGTCTCCCATGTTCTACTCTTCATCCACCTTCTGGTCATGGACGTCGTCACTCAAGGTAATGTTTTGGCGGAAACGATGTGGAGCTGCCGATGTTGGCAGTGTTTTCATCCGTGATCGCATGCGCTGCCTCCTCATCCACCTTTGCTTTGGTTAGAAAATGAAAAAAAAAAACAGCGGTTACAGCTCATTATCATTCATCGCTGCTTCTTACAGTTGATCTTATAACCCCTTGTCAGCCTCTTCTTACAGCGGAAGAACCAAAAAGACCATAGTTAATTATCTCAGCAATATAACTGACTTCGAGTAATCTATGCAACCAATCTAAATTCTGAAGCACTATCTACCAGCAATAACATGCGAGAACTGCACACAAATGTAAGAAGAACATGAATTGGAGACAAATACCACAATGTGCAGTCTCTCCACATTCGGAAAGCATAGGAAGGTAGGGCATCCTCTTGACGTCATTACAAACTTCAAACCACACATTTAGAGCATCTACAGTCGGACTTGGCAAATCCCCTCAAACGCCCGCGGACGCGTCCGGGCACGTCCGCGGGCGCATCCGGACGGGCCCTCATATTTCCTTCCGTGCATCCACATATCTCAAATCTGGACTCTCAAATTCAAGCAAATACATGCACGTCGATCATGCAACACAATGTCGCACATAAATAACAAATGTTGGTATCAAGCATACATAGTGTTTACATAAAATTTATTTGAAGTGCCAAACCCAAGCATTGCCTCCTTGGTTGCC